ACCCTCTCCAACGTGGTCTGAATCAGAACCACTGGCGGAAATGCGCAAAGGAAGGTCCGAGGCCACTGGTGCGCAAGAATGCCCATTCCCAACAGGGCACTCTGGTCCCTCATCGAGATAAATAGATGACACTGCACGTTTTTTCACAATGCATAAAGATCTACGTCGGCCCTGCCGAACATTTCCTATATCAGGGAGACCACCCAGGGGTGTAGCCTGAGAGAAAGGGCCCCACCTGGGTAAAAGATCTGCACCCGAGTTGAGGCAACTGGAGGCATGCGTCGCCCGAAGCGAGAGCATGTGCTCACTGGTCCCCAGCAATAGGGAGCGAGCCAAGGTTAGGAGGGAGAGACAGTCTCTCCCCATATGTTGATGCTTGCCACCATTGACATATTGTCGGTTCTGACCAGCACAAACCGGCCTGACAAAAGCAGGGGGAAGCGCCTGAGCGCTAGATACACCGCTAGGAGCTCCGGGTAATTGATATGCAGTGCGCTCCGCACCAGTGTCCATACCCCCCAATTGAGTTGCCTTCATACAGCGCACCCCACCCTTGCAGGATACAACTCAGCCCATGAGAGCCTCCTGACAATAGCAGAGGGTCCTATCAATGGGCCATGGCCTATAGACCTGACAGGGACACCCGAAGCGACTGGCTTAGGCTGAGAGATGCATCCAGGAGAGTAGATAGCACTCAGTGCTGGAAGGGTCACATCAACAATAGCCCCACGGGAACGACATCCATCACTGAAGCCATCATCCCCAATGGACGTGTGATCCTGCCGAAATTTGGCTAAGCAGAGCTGGAGCATGGGGATAGAAAAGCGTGATATGCGAGTGAGTCTAACTCGAGACCCAGAAATGGAATGCGCTGAGATGGAGTCAGACAGCTCTTTTCTGGTTTCTTATGAAGCCTAGGGACTGAATACAGGACAGTAGCATGGATGTGTGCAACACTGCTTTCCCCCTCGACTCCGCCCCCACCAGCCAATAGGTTGTAATAGCCGGCTGCTCGTTTGTAGATTGAGTTTGTAGACTGAGGTGCTTGCTGAGGGTACGTAGGTTTAGAATGGGATGCAAAGTCTCGTCCCTTTCCATAACCAGGAAATACTGTATGTACCAGCCGTTCCGGATCTTCGACATACAATCCATTCGGATTGCCTGCTTCTGGAGACGGGAGGTTATTTCCTCCCTCAAAACAGGCACTGAGGCCTCAAGAACAGTTGACGTGATGACGCTTCAGAAGCGCGGGGGACGCACAACAAATTGTAGCCTGTACCCTGAGGTCACTGTTCGAATGATCCACGGCGACACTGCGCATGCGTGCCATTGGTCAGAGCAGACAGTGAGACTCCTGTGAAGTGTCTGAAGGGGCGGGACCACACCTTGTGGACTGGGAGAGATTCTTCTTCCATTTCCACCACTCTTGACAATTGTGTGTCTGAATGTGGAGAAGGGACACTTTTTATCAAACTCACATGTGGAAGACAACACTTTTGACACCCGTGAACACTGTGGAACTGTGTTTATGTGCCAAGGTTTGCCTAAAGCCTGGCCCACTCTGGGTACACGGGCTCCGGTGATCAGTGACGTACCCCGATTGGCTGTGCTATTTGGGGGTACTGTTGTTACAACGAGCCTCACTTGGTTTAGGCGATAAGATGCGTTCCGGTAACTGGCTGGCACCCAGCACTGGACCGCACGCATTAAAAATAGACCCGGGGGGGGAAAAAACGTTATCATGGAGGTTACCCTACCGACCAGTCGTAGGTACTGGCGACAAAGCACCTTGTAACCTAGCTGGGAATGGGAAAGGCAGCTCTGAAAAACAGACCCCAGACAGGGGCGATTTGTAATTTAATCTAATTCCCAGAATAAAAAGTGTTGAGATGGAGACAGACAGCTCATTTCGGGGCTCATATGAACCACAGAGAGTGTGTGGGATAATAGTGTGGTCGTATCCAACCTGCTCGTTCCCTCGACTCCGCTACCAACAACTAATCACCTAAAAAGCCCATAACCTGTATCACTAGACACCTCATAGGGACTAGTGAGCTACAGGCAGGAATAAGCAATGAATCCCAGTAATGAGCCACCTATGGAGAGGGGCGCCCCCTTCTGGACAGACACCCTACTTATTACTCTCACCCTGGGGAGATTGATATACCCCTTGAACCCTGTGAACACTGTGGAACGCGGGGTAACAGAGGGGGCAGCATTAAACATGGACAAGCTTCCAACATACGTTGTGCTTCCGTGAGACTGTATAGCCTGCATGAAGCACAGGGGGCTCTGGCAATGGCTGACGTAGTACCCTGTTTGGACGTAACCAAACGTGGGGGCACTGTTGTCACTGTAATGTTTTTGAACACTAGTCACTCAGACCCGTGCCAAGGCGCTCGAGGGCTGCTTCCTCATCGGAGGTGCCCGCAAACCCCGCTTCCTCCACTGCCTCCAACTCCAGGAATTGAAAAATAGGAATGGGGTTGCCAGGGAAAGCTAGTAAGTTTCACCCGCCGGAAGTTAAGCATGCTAGCCAACTTTAGCCAGGAGGCTTTTTGGTCTAAGCTAGGCTAGCTAGCTTCTTTGACTGCAGGATGGTCCGTTTAGAATAACCAAGTGACTTATTGTTACGTATACTGAACAAGAGAGCTACCCCAGAAACTCCACCGTGGGGAGGGAGGAATAGCTCGTAATAGCATGCTATGGTCTCAAAAGTCCACGTAGGACTGGATCACTGAGTTGGGACCGGACCCTTCATCAACAAGTCTGGGAAGTGAGGCAAGCGGTGCTTGACCGAGGCAGACACAGGCGGTGGGGCTAACCACCGAACCTGGCCGCCTTCTCTCTTTGAGTAGCCTTCCGTAACCGGCGACAGAGAGCACAGGCAGACAAGACACCACATACCCTTTGCCCAGGCAGACAAGACATTTGCTCCGACCACCGCTTCCTGCACCTCGGCCCAGCCGAGGTACCGTATCCGGGAAAGGAAAGTCGCCATCGGTAATTGCAATTTTCCTCAAGAATGCTATGTCTTTCCAGGGAGTTTGTACGCAGTACGTGGCAATGCGCACTCGTGCTGTAACCCAAGACAAACTACACATTGATTGTGAATATCTTTCCGAAAAATGCTATAACCGCATGACTGCGGGCATGATCTCGACCCCGAACCCGGCTTAGCCATCTTTGTCTCTGTCGTTTTCTTAGCCATCTTACTCATTGCACCAGCAAATTGAAGAATAACTAATTGTTTGTGATTAGAAACGTATGAGAACAAGTACAAACTTCAGCACACAACATCCAGGGGGTGAGCACGCTCTACCACTATGGGACAGTTTAGTTGGCGCAACGTAAGACAGTCTCGTTTGCAAATAGTTAGTTTTAGTAGCACCGAGGTGAAGAGCGGAATAATTTAAGGAATGAATCCGAGCCTCACACTTATCACCTGTGGAAGATGGGACTTCCAGCGATTTCATTGGCCTTGTCAGGCGTGACTGTATATCCTTCAACCAAAGTCGCGAGAGTGCGACTCCCCATAGTATGTTGTACCAAAGTTGACCGACTGAAAGGGAACCTAAAACAAGTCAAAAAAAATCGCACACTAATAGACAAACGTCCTTGACTTCAATCTATTTTTCATTGCAAGGTGCATGGGAAATGAAAAAAAATATATATATATACACATTGAACAAAAATATAAACGCAACATGCAACAATTTCAAAGATTTTACTGAATTACAGTTCATATAAGGAAATCAGTCAATTGAAAGAAATTCATTATGCCCTAATCTATGGATTTCACATGACTGGGAATGCAGATATGCATCTGATGGTCAAAGATACAGTACCCCCAAAAAAAGGTAGGGGCTAGGATCAGAAAACCAGTGAGTATCTGGTGTGACCACCATTTGCCTCATGCAGCGTGACACATCTCCTTCGTATAGAGTTGATCAGGCTGTTGTTTGTGGTCTGTGGAATGTTGTCCAATTCCTCTTCAATGGCTGTGTGAAGTTGCTAGATACTGGCAGAAACTGGAACACGCTGTCGTACACGTCGATCCAGAGCATCCCAAACGTGCTCAATTGGTAACATGTCTGGTGAGTATGCAGGCCATGGAAGAAAGGGGCCGTGCATTATCATGCTGAAACATGAGGGGATGGCGGCGGATGAATGGCACGACAAGGGGCCTCAGGATCTCGTCACAGTATCTCTGTGCATTGAACTTCCCATCAATAAAATTGTGTTTGTTGTCCGTAGCTTATGCCTGCCCATACCATAACCCCACCGCCACCATGGGGCGCTCTGTTCGCAACGTTGACATCAGCAAACCGCTTGCCCACACGACGCCATACACGCTGTCTGCCATCTGCTAGGTACAGTTGAAATCGGGATTCAACGTGAAGAGCACACTTCTCCAGCATGTCAGTGGCCATCGAAGGTGAGCATTTGCCCACTGAAGTCGGTTACGACACCGAACTGCAGTCACGTCAAGACCTTGGTGAGGACGACGAGCATGCAGATGAGCTTCCCTGAGACGGTTTCGGACAGTTTGTGCAGAAATTATTCGGTTGTGCAAACCCACAGTTTCATCAGCTTTCCGGGTGGCTGGTCTCAAGACGATCCTGCAGGTGAAGAAGCCAGATGTGGTGGTCCTGGGCTGGCGTGGTTACACGTGGTCTGCGGTTGTGATGCCGGTTGGACGTACTGCCAAATTCTCTAAAACGATGTTGGAGGCGGCTTATGGTAGAGAAATTAATATTCAGTTCTCTGGATTCCTGCAGTCAGCATGCAAATTGCATGCTCCCTAAAAACTTGAGACAGCTGTGGCATTGTGTTGTGTGACAAAACTGCACATTTTAGAGTGGCCTTTTATTGTCCCAAGCACAAGGTGCACCTGTGTAATGATCATGCTGTTTAATCAGCTTCTTGATATGCCACACCTGTCACACACACACACACACACACAGGAACCTACCTGCCACAGTGAGGCTGACCACGGCCCTGATCTCCCCCTGTAGGTTGTTGGAGGCGATACAGGTGTAATTTCCTGCGTCGCTGCGCGTCACTTTGGGGAAGTGGAGCTGGCCGTTCCTCATCTCTACATGAGGAGGCAGCTCTCCACTGTCTGTAGTGGGTGACAGAGGGTCAGAGAGGAGATCAACGAGGGCTGAGAACCTACAGTACTGTGATATTCTTTCCCCACTTTCGTGCTGTCCAGAACCATACTGTGCTCGGCTCAATAGTGTGAATCAGCTATAAGTGTAATGGATGAAGTGATCTTATCTAACATAGGCAATACAAATGAAGGGAAATTATCAAATGTAATTCATCAGATTCAATCTACAATTCATTTCCTTCTCTAATGATTCTGTATTCTAAATTATCCATAATCTGATATTATAAGAAGATAGATTGATTACTTTATTGTATATTGTCAAAGGACACAGATATTTGTCTTTTTTCATCTCTGTGACCTGTGACAATGGCTTCATCTCAACCCTCTGAAACATACACAAACACCCACGGAGAGGTTGGAACACCGGGTCAGTCACATTGCTGCACCCCTAGAGCAGTTTAAGGGTTAAGTGCCTTGCTCAAAGGCACAACGACAGCAGATGGCATCTAGGATATTGTGCTCTAGCACTGAGTAGGACCACCCTGCACTCACCTGCTTTGGTCCATTTGATGATGGGGGTCTCTCTGCCTGTAGCAGAACACTGGATGTTGACCTCCTTGTCCAGCTCCAGGCACTGGGACGGTTGGGGCGTAGGGGTGAACTTCAGCTTCTCTGGAACCCACAGGTCAAAGGTAAAACACCATATTAAACACACAGCTAAGAGAGATTAGCCTGGTCCCAGATCTGTTTGTGCTGTATAACAGTGACCATCCATAGGAGTTGGCAAGACAGTACAAACAGATCTGGGACCAGGCTAAAGAGAGAGTGCCTCAGTGCCATGGTACACTATTCAAAGCTATTCACAGCATGTTCAGACACATTTAAAAAGATGCAGATGCAAGCACATACATTCACATGGCTGAATGAAGGAAGACAAGGGTATCAGGATCTAAGGTTAAACTGACTGATCACACACACACACCCGCGCACATGCACACACACACACACACACACACACACACACACACACACCAGGTAATTCCAGCTCACCCAGTACATAGACTCTGGCGTGTCCAGACAGCCTGCCTCCCTCTGTCTTGCTCTCACAGCCATACATCTGACCATCATACACCTCCACATTGTTGATGCGCAGGGTACCATTGGGGAACACTGTAAAGCGTGAGTCCTGATGGAGAAGAGAGGGAGAAGGGTAGAGGATGGAGAGGAATAGCCTAGATACAGTACGTGCAGCTCCTAACTGGAAGTCATTAGCGTGTAAGGTCAACAGTTCAATCCTGATCCTTACCATACTAACATAAACAGAGTCCTATGGGCCCTGGTCAAAATAAGTGGTGTGTGTGTGTGAGAGAGATAATGAGAGAGAGAAAGAGAAAGAGCTACTGACCTCAGGCATGACTATAATGTTGTTTCGGAGCCAGGTGACCTCAGGCTCAGGGGTAGCCTGGGCGTGGCAGTGGAGGTAGCCTGGTCTTCCCTCCTCCAGGTAGCTGTCCTGGGGCTTGGTTACCCACACTGGGGCAGCTGAATCACACACACAAATGAATTATTATTAGTCTAGTAGAAGCCAGTGTCAATCATGCTGAATCCCAAATGTACCCCTTGCTTACATTTTACATTTTACATTTTAGTCATTTAGCAGACGCTCTTATCCAGAGCGACTTACAGTTAGTTAGTGCATACATTATTTTTTTATTTTTCATACTGGCCCCCCGTGGGAAGAAAAATAATGGACCAATCATGACTAAAGGACAACCCTATAATAGGGACCAGAGTTTTCCATGATCAGGACACCTCCTGGCCCTAGCCATGATGTAATAGGTCAGGAGATATTGGTCTGACTCACTGGCCACTGTGAAGGTCAGGTCCTGGGTCTTGCGGCCCGCCTTGTTCTGGGCCACGCAGGTGTAGGAGCCCGAGTCGCCCTGCTCGGTGGGGCTGAAGACCAGCTCACTCCCCTCCTGGTACACCCGGCCCTCCGTGGGGACGCGCACCCCTTCCCGCTCCCACCACACCTCGGGCTGGGGCTTTCCATGCGGGGCCCGACAGGACACACGCTGCATTGTGTCTGCTGTGAAGACCCGGGACTGTCTGGGGGACATGTCCTCGATCTCTGTAATAGGGAGAGTGGAAGGGAGAGAGAGGGAGGAAGAGAGAGGGAGAGAGAGAGGGTGAGGGAGAGAGTAGGAGAGTGCGGGCATGGGAGAGTGAGAGTGGAAGATAAAGATACATTGAGAGAAAATGTGAGGTATTATTTTAGTGCTCAAATTGATTTCCATGTAAACTAGTCTCAGGCGATAATAATCAATACTTTTTTCAAATTTGAATTTCAGAGGCACCATCAGCATACTTGGCTTTAGTCTGAAATGCTATTCAAAGACACTGTAAAGTAATTCCTTTCTTGTTAAGAAATAACTACTGATGTATAGCAAGGGAACAGTAATTAGAGGACAATTCCTGAATTGTATATCTGACTGTATCAGACCTGTTCAAATACAACAATACTTTGAGCTTTAGCCTGCCTGAAGTGCCAGATGGGTGGGGTTTGCATTTTTGCAACTTTCTGATTGGTTCCATTGCGCCAGGCAAGCTCAATCAAGCCCAGCTGAAGGATTTGAAATGCTTTCAAATGGTATTTGAACCCAGGTCTGTACGTCTGACTGTTGCTCTTTTACTTTAAGGCCATGACAATGGGCCCTTAGCCCAGGCTTCTGTGGGGTGGGTGAGTTATATTAAAGCTGGCAGGCAGCTCTGTATACAGCTGTGAGCTGCTACAGTACATGCAGCTCCTAACTGGAAGTCTTAGCGTGTATTGCCCAACATGCCTCTCAGAGCAGGTCAATGGTTCAATCCTGATCCTTACCAGATTAACATAAACAGAATCCTATGAGCCCTGGTCAAAAGTAGTGCTGTGTGTGTGTGTGTGTGTGTGTGTGTGTGTGTGTGTGTGTGTGTGTGCATGGTGGGGCTGGCACAGAGGTACTGCTTAAACTTGTCCCAAAAACGCTGAACCTGGGTCTGTGTGACACAATTCCAGTTTAATGCCTGAGGAATTAGCAACAGATTAGGTGAATTAAGGTATTTAAATGGGCTGTGGTTCACTGGGTTAAGACTGCAGAGGCCGCTGTATGGGGCCCAGTTAGGGCCCGGTCCAAGTCCTGGGGGCTACAGTAACAGAGGTACACTAGGGACTGGGAGGGGTGTGACACTTGATCCATCATCAGAAAACAACCATTACCTGGGTCATTTTCATTAGGCACAAAACGGAAGAAAGCAGAGTGAAACAGGGAGGCTCTACCTGGACTTGTCCAATCAGAAACATTCATTTTAGTTTTCCGTTGCGTTTTAAAACTTTTTCCATTGTGTGCCCTAATGAACACGACCCAGGTTACCTGCTTAATAGATGCATCTCCAGTGACGTACCGTATTTTTACACACAATTACTAAAATCTATTTGATATTCATTGAGGCGATTTAGATCATTCCTCAACTGCTGTCGACTTGCCACAAGCCACCCTGTGTCTCGCACTAACTACTCTATTCAAATCAGCCCACATTCTCTTTTCTAACAAAGCCATACATGACAGTGTCAGTGCGTGTGTGTGCGACTGTGCACACGCAAGTGTATGTGTGGGGTCGCTACAATGAGCCTGTTTAAGCAAACAGCTTGTCTTAACAGCTGGACGGAGGGAGGGAGGGAGCAGGGGAGGAAACAGCTTCTGAAGGAGGAGAGGACAAGAGGAGAGCGGGAGAGCATGAAGAAGCACACCACTTGGTCTCTGTGGAAGATACAGCTGGGGCGGATGTCAATAAGGGAATTCAATTATCTCTAGGGAGATATCTGCCCCTAAGTTAATGAGTGAAGGAGTGAGAGACAGGGGTAGAGAGAGGGAGAGAGAGAGAGAGAGAGAGAGAAAAAAGAAAATAGAGAGATGGGGCTGACACTGTCATACATCCTACACTCGTGTGTGCGCGCGTGTGTGCATCTGCATGTGTGTGTGTATGCGTGTGTGTATGCGTGTGTGTTTGTTAGTGTAGCACCTGCTATGAGGAGGGAGGCCTCCAGCGTGACGTCGGGGCCCCGGGGCCCTCTGCCCACACACCTGTAGGGGCCAGTGTTTCTGGGCTTCACCTGGGTGATGAGCAGGGTGCCGTTGGTGTACAGGATCATTCTATGGAGAGAGGAGAGGGGATGCACAGGTAAACACCAGTACTCAGATGAACATTAATAATGCCATTCACTCGCTGATACTCTCAACCAAACCAGAGTATGAATGCAGAAACTGAAAAAGGCACTTACATTAACAGAGGAGTTTTAACTATGCAAAGACATTTTAATTGGTGAATTTACAGTATGCACTCAGGGTAATATCCTTTTCACATTATCGTGCCGTCCTGAACCGTACTGTGCTGGTCCTGCTGGCTCTGATCTTTTATTTTCAAATGGTCCATTCCAGCAACTGTGCTGGATTCGTAACCAGGCCAGCTCTGAACAGCTTGGCTCGGCTCAGTGTGAAAAGGGTATGTGTCCATTCTATCTGGCCCAGTGTACACCATGGCCCTTCTCTGGCCCCTGACAGGGAAAGAGGAGTATCAGTGTGTGTGATAGAGAGGATGAAGTCTCATTACCGTCTGACCTTAGTCAGCTCAGAGCCTGACAGCTAACGGACCAGCTACCCCACGCATGTGAAATCCATGTCCGTGAGATTTGCGTGATACAGAGTTGATATAGTCTTACATTAGTCAACGTTACCTGCTACATCGGTGTGTGCGTAAAGCGTAGATGTTGCGTGGCAACGTAAAGTTAGGTTTGGAGTCTATTTCTCTCAGATCCACTCGCATAAACACCATACAAAGTACCTGAAATAATTGGTATGAATCCTTTTTTGACACTTAAAAACATATTAACTCAGCTTCATAGTATGAAATGTAATAGAAACATTAATAATAGTAGTAGGGTACATCCATACAATAGTAGTACCTGTATGAAAATCAACAGAACTGTAGTCTTCCTAGTTCATAATTGGAGGTAGGTTGTTATATTTATAGTTTCAATGCTTTTTAGAAACTTTGAAATATTCAAACCAGCTATTGCAGAGCTGATGGTCTGTTAAGTAAACCCCTCCCCTGACCCTCCTTGGAAGATATTCCGATTTGACAGGACAGGACAAAGTTGTCAAAATGGATGACACCTGTTTGATCATCGAAGCTAAGAAGCACACTTACAAGGACGCCCCCAATACAAGAACGCTTTGTCCAAAGAAAAAACATGGAATGCTGTACCATCCGTCCTTGGAGAACCAGGTGTTTTATCAACAAAATCAATTGGTGTACATTTGTTCTGCAAAGTACAGACAGTCAGTCTTTCTTATTTTTTACATTTTCTATTCGTAAATTTAGCTCACATAATATAATTTTAAAGTATGCATTAAGGTCCCTGTCATATAATAAACGTGGCAAAAATAAATGTATAAATGCAGTTCTATAGCTTCCAAAATCGTTTTTTACAATGGTGGGGGAGTAGTAAAATGGAGGCACGGTGGCGTCAAAACAGCGCCCCGTCAGTCATCTAGTGTATACAGTATATAGATGGGTTGGCTGCCAATGTCACAAAAATGATGTTCGCTCATCGATGTGGCCGGAAGGCGTGCGTTGTTATGATTCTGAACGGTCAGATAGCTAGCAACAATGACAAGAAGCTGCCATGTGGGGAATCTTAGGTGGCTCGTTTCAGTTCGTTGTATCTTGTTATTGACAGCATGTCTTGTTTTGAGGTGTTTTGACTGATGTCATATTCGCTAGCTAACCAACAACTGTAACAATGTATTTGCGAGACAACAAGTGCTCATTGTGCAAATCTATTTATGTTTTCAATAAACATTTGTAGACTAAATATAGTTGATTTGTTGTCAACAGTCTAAGTAAACCCCGTCTGTTGTGCCCCATTGTTGAGCAGGCATCGCTTTTGTTGTTAAACAACCAACCCGTCTATACATTTGTACAAAACACTTAGCAGATCCTGTGCTTTAAAGGCCAAAATGGTGTACTGGCCCTTTAAGAACTGCTTGTGCCTCTGGTAGTTAAAATGTCTGTCGGGAAAGGCTGGCATTATACTCAACCTTCACCTATTGGATCTCTGCCAGCTTCTCCAGTAACACAATCCTTTTGTTTCCTCTGCGTGTGTCCAATACATAACGTGAGTAAAGAAATATGAACTTTTGTTTGACTGTTTTACCTGATGCAGGCAATTGGTTTGAATTCTAAAGGGAAAACCAGCCACGTTGCGGACACTGACGTCTTGCTCCCGGACAAGCTAAACACCTTCTTTGCCCACTTCGAGGAAAACACAGTGCCGCCGACAAAGGCCCCCATCGCTCCCGTGGACTGTGAGCTCTCGTTCTCCATGGCCAACGTGAGTAAGACATTTAAGCGTGTTAACCATTCCAAGGTTGCTGGCCCAGACGGCATCCCAAGCAGTTTCCTCAGAGCATGCGCAGACCAGCTGGCTGGAATGTTTATGGACATATCCACTTGCCTCAAGATGTCCACCATTGTTCCTGTACCCAAGAAAGTGAAGGTAACTGAAGGTAACTCGCCCCGTAGCACTCACTTCTGTCATCATTAAGTTCTTTGAGAGGCTAGTTAAGAATCATATCACCTCCAACTTACCCGACATCCTAGACCCACTGCATTTGCGTACCGCCCCAATAGATCCACGGATGACGCAATCGCCATTGCACTGCCCTATCCCATCTGGACAAGAGGAATACCTATGTAAGAATGCTGTTCATTGACTAGAGCTCAGCCTTCGACACCATAGCACCCTCCAAGCTCATCATTAATCTTGGGGCCCTGGGTCTGAACCCCTGGGTCCTGGACTTCCTGATTGGTCACCCCCAGGTGCTGAAGGTAGGAAACAACACCTCCACTACGCTGATCCTCAACACAGGGGGCCCACAAGGGTGTGTGCTCAACCGCCTCCTGTACTCTCTGTTCACCCATGACTGCGTGGCCACGCACGTCTCCAACTCAATCATCAAGTTTGCAGACGACACAACAGTGGTAGGACTGATTACCAACAATGACGAGACAGCCTAAAGGGAGGAGGTGAGG